ATAAATATGCCTTTCTGCCCTTATCATCACCAGTAAGTCCTAAGGTAAATCCCCTTACCTGTGTTCAGGCAGCTTCCAATGATATGCAGACAAGGAAAAGCATCAAAGGTGGTATACAGCAAGTTCTGACCAGTTCTGGAGAACCAGTAGCAGAAATTTTGAGTAGCTCAGAGAACCAGCAAATACCACCTCTGACTAGAGATTTTACAGTATCCTTCCCCTGCCACGCCCACCAAGCTACGCCCATAGAACCGGTAGTAAAAAAAATTGAATCCCACCACTGAAAAGCATACTGCCACCCCCCAAAAAAAACAGATTGCCTTCACCACAATGGGTTAACAATCATTCAACAGAATGGGTTAACACAACTTCATAAAAAGAGCTATTTCATGCAACCAGTGATAACACAACCATCACAATAGATGAAAAGATTAAATCTCCCTTGCATCAAAAATGCTCAAAAACCATCAGCAGATTATTTCAATCACTAGGCGTCTGAGATGAAAATCATGAAAATCCTTCAATTTCATCATACAGAGACCAATTTAACCACAAATTCAACTGGAACATTTTACAGCAAGCCAAATCTAAAAGAAAATTTCTAAAAAGCCTGGCATTCTGGCAGATCTGCTGTTAACAAACACCTGGGATAAATCTGAGCTATAAATTATTCAGAAAAGCAAAATCCCAAGAAGGAAGCAAACAGGCCAGAGTGCGTCCTTCCTCCCTTATTTGCACACCCACCAATCAACACTCTCACTCAGATAACACATGCAATAGTCAGAAAGAAACAAAGATGATGTAAACAACAGGCAGAATATGACCAATCAGAAACAGGCAAACAACCATCAAGATTAGAAGAAACACAGATTAAAAGTCAGCAAAACCATATCCTTTGTGTCAAAGCCCTAACTATGCTTGCAATTGAAAAGTTTTTAAGAAGAGAGTCTTAAACGCTCAGCAAACCCCAGGACCTCAAAATCCAATATCAATCTAGCATTGTCAAAATTATGAGTCATCTTTAAAAATATGCATAACATTGATTTTAACTGTATGCCGAGCATGGAAATTCATTTCATCCTCAAATTAAATGGCATCCTTATTAGCTCCAAAATGTATCAGTCACTTCCATTTTAGCACAATTGTTTTGTTGCTGGCTATTACTTCCTCACTCTTGTAAAGCATGTGCAATATCACTGGCGTGCCCTTCTCAAAACAATCTAGAATTATAGAGGGACATAAAGCAGATGAAGAACACTCATGGGATTCCCATTTCAAAACTCAAAGCAGAAAACAATAGTCTCCCCACCTACACAGCACTAGATTAATTACATGAATGATGTATTTGTTACCAGAAAAAAAAGAACAAAAATGCAAACGAGATAATCAACAATGAGTTGGAGATCATCTTCACAAAAGAACAGAATAATAATGAACTCTCCTTTGGGGACATTGTTATCTCTGTTATCAACACAGAAAACAATGGCAGATTCAAACTTAGTAAAAAGCAGCTCACAGAAATCAATGAAAGTAGGCAGCTCTTTTTTTAAAAAAAAGCATATTTCCAACAAACCAATAGCAGCATAATAATCTCAATGCACAAAAAGGATACCTCTCTTTTTTAAATCAAGTATAGCTCAAAAAGTATCCACAAACCATTACAACCACTTGGAACAACCAACGCACAAATCAACAAAAATTTTCCAAAGCAACTTCAGTAAATCCAAGAATCTTGTTTTCCAAGAAGACAGAGCATTATTCAGAAAATAAAAGTTATGGACTGTGAACATGACTATCTAGGACAAGTAGGTTAGGAGAAAGCAACTGAAAACACAATGAAATTTGATTAATTTCACTGCACGCAGGCAAGTTCAGCCATGAATTCAGCTTCAGAAATATTGAAATTCTAAGCCAGGTGAAATGAAAGAATGTATACAAATTCCTAGAAGCCTGGATTTCTGACAAACAAGCAAATTGATAGAGACATAAACTTAGATCCCATCTATTAAAAAAAACAACTCAAATAGAAATGAGAACAGCACTTATTGTATAAGGGCGAGTTGGGATGACTGGATGGAGCTGAGCATTTATTGGCCAGATGCCCTTCCTGGCACCTATATGATATTCACAGTAGATTTTTTTTCTCTGTGCCCTAGGAGAGAAAGATCTGCTTCTACCTCGGTTTGAACTCTCAATCTCCCAGGTGGGAGGCAAGTGCCTTCACCACTAGGCCACCACATCACTCATTTCAAATAGAAACACACTCATCACAACAAATCCCCCATGCTTATTTAATAAATGTATATGGACACCCATCTTATTGAATCTGGTTCTGGGTGGCATACAACCAACGATTAAAATGATGTCACAACTGTTAAAAACTTAAAAATATAAATAAAAGCAAACTTGTGGGAGAAGACATCTAACTATAACCATAGCATAGGCTCCCTGTGCATTCCCCAAAGCTTCTGGAAAAGCCACATTTTCAGAGCCTTCCAAAAAGTTCACAGGGATGGAGCTAACCTCATTTTGGAAGGATGATGTGCCACAATAGGAGATGGGCCCACTGGTGGGATTCAAATTTTTTTACTACTGGTTCTGTGGGCGTGGCTCGGTGGGTGTGGCTTGGTGGGTGTGGCAGGGGAGGGATACTGCAAAATCCCCATTCCCTCCCTACTCCTGGGGGAAGGTTACTGCAAAATCCCATTCCCTCCCCACCTCACTAACCTGATTTCCAGCTCTGTTCTCCTGTGCAGGGCAACAAAAGAAGATCCAGTCAATCAGCTGGGACTCGGGAGGCAGAAAATAAATGGGGGCAGGACCAGTCAGAGGTGGTATTTGCCAGTTCTCCAAACTACTCCAAATTCCCACTACCAGTTTCCCAGAACTGGTCAGAACCTGTTGAATACCACCTCTGGATGGGACCCACAACATTACTCTCTTTGTGGACCTGATGGGAGAAATAGATGTGACCAGGAAAAAGCAATCTCTCAAATAGCCTGGCCTCATGCCATCTAGGGCTTTAAATGTTAAAAAAAAACCCAGAACCTTGAATTGCATCAGGAAGCAAACCAATGAAGCTCATGAACAATAATGAAATATGGGCTGACTTTACTATCTGGGCAGACCCATTTTGCACTAGCTGAAACTTCTGGATGCTCTTCCAGGGTAGCCCCATATAGAATGCATGAAGTAGTCCATGTGGGAGACAACCAGGCAGTGGCAGTATGCTACCGGTTTGGCCCGGTTCTGCCAAGCCGGTAGCGGTGATGAGCAGCAGAGACCAAACCGGTTCTCTCCGCTGCTCTACTGTTGGGCCTACCCGCTGACCCGGGCTCCCATACTCACCTTTATCTTCTGCATTTGAAATGCAGATGCTTTGTGTCGTGTGACAGCTGCTGAAGCAACTGGGAGAGTTCAGGCTTGTAGGAGGTGAGTTGGAACACCTCTGCGCCTGCGCAAACGCCTCTGTGCCTGCGCAAAGTGTGTGTTTGGCATGCACATGCACGCAAAGTATGTGCACGCATGCAAAGCATGCACACCAAGCCACGCCCACTGAACCTGTTACGAACTAACTAAATAAACTCATTATTAAAAACTCTTCGAGCTTCGCTCCAACTGCAGGCTCGTAATCCTGCACTTCTGATTGGTCCGCAAGTAAGTGATCATGATTGGCAGCCTTCGGCTAACCTGATTGGCTGACAGCGGCCATCCCTAATTGAAAGACTAAGTGCGGTTAAACTCGTTCCCATTGGTTATTGTGGCAGCAGCCAGCTCTATAAAAGAGCTGCTGCTGCCCAAGTGTTTTGCTCTGTTCTGAAGTCACTATTAAAGAGTTGAGTCACTACCCGATGCCTTGTCTCCGTTATTGCGCCCACTCCTCCAGATCTAACACTGGCGACGAGGATGGGATCCGGAGACAATAGAACCAACTGAGCACTCGCTGTACACCGAACAGAGCACGTGGCTGAAAGAGCATCAACAACGGCAAGATAGCCAGCGGCGCCATACCACCCGCTCCATTTGACCTGGCTAACAAAGACTGGGACTCGTATATGGACAGGTTCCAGATGTTTTTGGAGACCAACAACCTGAAGGACGCTTCGCCTGGCAAGAAACAAGCGGTCTTCCTGACCCATTGAGGGCCTGCCATTTTTAAAATGGCTAAGGCACTTGCAAAGCCTGCAGAGGTTAAGTCAATGGATTGGGATAACCTCGCTCCTATTCTTCGGGCCCATTATGCACCCACGGTGCCAACCCTCATCTGGAGACACGAGTTTTACCAGAGGGACCAGCGGAAAGGCGAGAGCGTTGGAGACTTCATCGCTGACCTCCGGAACCTGGGTGGACTCTGTGGTTTTTAAAACCTCGAAGAAGCCATGCGAGACCGCATAGTTCTGGGATTAGATGACCTCACGGCGCAGAGCAACATCATGGCCAAAGGGGACATCGATCTTGCAGATGTCATCGCTGACGCTACTGCAGCAGAGGCAACCAGGAAGTCGGCCGCTCGAATGCGCCGCACCAACGCACCGCTCCGTCAACTCGCCAATGATACTTCACCTTTCCCAGAAAAGCACTCAACAACGGCGCACCATGAAGACCTCGAATCCCCATCGGATAGTGAGGAAGAAGAGGTCAACCGACTCCGGTCAGAGCGCGACCAGCGAGACCAGCGAAGCCAAAAACCTTCGCGTCAATGCGCCGGTTGTGGGGCAAATCACCCGCGAGCTGATTGCAAATTCCTCGACGCACTCTGCCGTTCCTGTGGAAAGAGGGGCCATATCGCCAAGGTCTGCAGGAGCAAGCGAGGGTCAAGTCCAATCCGTAGAGAGAACAACTCCCGCCAAGCTACGGGCAGCCCGCCCGTGAACCGGGATCGCCTGAATCACCAATGGAACCACTATCACTACAGAAATCGAGCGCCTGCTGCGTCAGCTAGACGAGAGGAGACGCATCAAACCATCACCATCGGTCACGCCTCATCCTTGGATGCAAGGAAGATCCGAGTGAAGGTCGCCATTGAGAATCGTCCATGCGTAATGGAAGTAGACTCGGGTTCATCCCTATCAATGGTCTCGTGGAGGACTTTCAAACAGCTGATCCCTGACATCCGTCGTCGAGACCTCAGCACCCAGAAAGTCATATTAAGGGACTACCAGGGAAACCGAACTCCCGTTGCCGGGTCCTGCCACATCCAGGTCTCCTTTAAAGACCACACCGCAACTCTGCCTCTTACCATCGTCGATCGAAACCGGCCCAGTTTGTTGGGCTTACCGTGGTTCGCTCCATTGGGGATTGAACTAGCCGGCATTCACCAGACCAGGAGCAGTGACTGGGAAGCCGCCCTCGTCCAGGAGTTCCAGGACGTATTCACAGAGAAGCTAGGCAAGTACAAGGGGTCCCCCATATCATTTAGCCTCAGCTCCGATGTTGCGCCCATACGCCTTAAGCCTCGTCGAGTGCCTTTCGCACTCAAGCCAAAGATTGACGAACAATTGGACAAATTGATAGCCCAAGGGGTGTTAGAACCGATCGATCACGCCCGTTGGGAAACCCCGATTGTAACGCCCATAAAACCGGATGGATCGATAAGAATTTGTGAGGATTACCGAGCCACCCTAAACCACGCGCTTCAGCAAAGCGCTTATCCTGTACCGGTGGTTCAACATCTTCTTCACTCCCTGGGCGGCGGAAAGATCGTTGCAAAGTTGGACCTAGCCCAGGCATACCAGCAACTACCCGTAGATGCAGAGATTGCTGAGGCCCAGACTATCGTCACGCACAGAGGTGCGTTTAAATGTAATAGGCTCCAGTTCGGTGTGAGTGTAGCACCAGGCATCTTTCAAAGCCTGATGGAGCGATTGCTGCAAGGCATAAAAGGGGTCGTGCCTTATTTCGATGATGTCTTGATAGCTGCCCCCACTAGAGACGTGTTGGAGACCCGACTCAGAGCGGTTCTCCAAAAATTCAAAAACGCCGGGTTAAAGGTAAAGAAAGACAAGTGTCAACTTTGTACTGAGAGGGTTGAATTCCTGGGGTACCTCCTTGATAAAAAGGGAATTCATCCTACCGAAAAAAAAGTAACAGCCATAAAAAATGCCCCCAGACCTAGGAATAAAACGGACCTCCAAGCCTTCCTGGGACTCATTAACTTTTATAATATCTTCTTGCCCCAGAAGGCGACTGTAGCTGAGCCCCTACATCGTCTGCTAGACAAGAAAGCTTCCTGGGTCTGGGGACAACGGGAAGAACGAGCGTTCCAGCAAGTAAAAGATCTCTTGACCTCCGACGCTGTATTAATGCAATATAACGAGACTTTGCCTTTAACTGTCACGTGTGACGCCTCGCCGTTCGGGGTGGGAGCCATTTTAAGCCATGTTCTACCAAACGGCAATGAGGCACCTATTGCTTTCTTTTCCCGAACATTATCAAAGACTGAAAGGAACTATAGCCAACTTGATAAAGAGGCTCTTGCTATTGTAGCCGCTATTAAACGTTTTCATGAATATGTCTATGGACGGCCGTTTACTATAATAACCGACCACAAGCCATTGCTTGGCATATTAGCAGGGGACAAGCCTACTCCCCACATCTTATCACCAAGGATGACCCATTGGTCAGAGTTTCTAGCTGCATATGGTTATCAACTGCTACACCGCCCGGGGAAAGCCATTCCCCACGCTGACGCTTTGAGCCGTTCTCCGCTGCCGGAAGCCATAGACGATCCAGCTCCAACCCTTACTGCGCTCCAGATCGAAACTCTCCCTTCGCCACCCCTGACTGCACGAGACATCGCAGCGGAAACAAAGAAGGACCCCACATTGGCTCGGGTCCTCAGCTGGGTGGAACGAGGCTGGCCTGACAATGAACCCGACAACATCTTCACACCATTTAAAAACCGACAGACGGAGCTGTTCTCACAGAAGGGCTGCGTTTTGTGGGGAGACAGAGTCATCATTCCTGAAAAATTACAACACAGCATCCTAAAACTATTGCATGACGGTCATCCAGGCATCATGCGGATGAAGGCGTTAGCGAGAAGTTACACGTGGTGGCCAGGTATCGATAAACAAATAGAAGCCTGGGTGGCCACATGCAACAAGTGCCAGGAAATCCGCGCTGCCCCACCGAAGGCACCTCCAACTGAATGGGATGCACCTCGTGGCCCCTGGTCCCGCATCCACATTGATTTTGCGGGACCCACCAAGGAACACACTTTTCTAATAACAGTGGATGCCTATTCAAACTGGCTCGAAGTCCACAAAATGAAAAGCACCACAACAGAAGCCGTCGTTAAAATGTTAAATAGACTATTCGCTACGCACGGACTACCGGACGTTTTAGTCTCGGATAATGGCCCCCAGTTCACTGCCCTTGCATTCGAGCAATACCTAGCGGACCGGGGCATCCGCCATGCCTTAACTTCGCCGGCTCGCCCTGCGGCCAATGGCAGGGCCGAGCGTATGGTACAATTCATTAAAAAAACATTGCACAAAGTGGAACATGGCGATATTGACGACAAGATAAACAGGATGCTTCTTCTTCAACACATCACGCCGCACAGCACCATGAACAGAACCCCAGCTGAACTCTTGATGGACCGGAAACTTCGCTCACACCTCGATCGCCTACACCCAACCTACACGCCAGAAAAACCTTGCGGTTCCAGCAGCAAGTGTCGTGCGTTCAAGGTAGGCGATTTAGTTTTTGCGAAAAACTTCTCGGCTGACCCATTGTGGGTACCCGCTACCATCATGCAGCTAACAGGCCCCAGATCGTACCGTTTGCAGACTAATGACGGCAAACTGTGGAAGCGCCATATAGACCAACTTCGTTCCCGTTTGGCGCCTAACTCTCTCTCACCCCCTGATAACAGAGGACCCAATCAGTGAAGCCCAGCAGACTGTACAACCAGCCAGGGGATACTCACCACCCGACGGAAGCCCGAGCCAGGAGATGGCCTCGCCACATAGCAGCCCAGTCAGGGAAGCAAGCCCAGAGAACCCAGAAAACAACCAAGAAAACAGCCTTGATTCACCCAGCGAGACAGTGGAACCGTCGTCACCACCCAGTTCTACAAACGATCCACCGGAACCTGAACGGAAACCGGTAGAACAGTGGAAATCGAACAGGCAGGTGAAACGGCCTGCCTATTTGCGAGAATACGTCACCCCACCCCTCAGATGGAACCTAGGGGGGAGGGGTGTTACGAACTAACTAAATAAACTCATTATTAAAAACTCTTCGAGCTTCGCTCCAACTGCAGGCTCGTAATCCTGCAGTTCTGATTGGTCCGCAAGTAAGCGATCATGATTGGCTGCCTTCGGCTAACCTGATTGGCTGACAGCGGCCATCCCTAATTGAAAGACTAAGTGCGGTTAAACTCGTTCCCATTGGTTATTGCGGCAGCAGCCAGCTCTATAAAAGAGCTGCTGCTGCCTAAGTGTTTTGCTCTGTTCTGAAGTCACTATTAAAGAGTTGAGTCACTACCCGATGCCTTGTCTCCGTTATTGCGCCCACTCCTCCAGATCTAACAGAACTGGTGATAAAAGTTTTTGAATCCCACTGCTGCAATCAGGGTATGGGTGAATAAAGCCTCTCAAATGGGAACCACTGGCTCACAACACAAAGCTGTGCAAAAATTCTGCACAGAATCCTAACCTAGCACCTGCATCAGCATAACAAGAACAACATTACAATGTGTCACTCACATAGAAAACAACCCTACCCAACAGCACAATTTATCAAATCTCATAGAAGACTGAAAGGTCATGGAAGACATATTCCATAGTTAACCAATAAGCCTCCCTTCTCCAATATCATAACACGCCATAACACTCAAGATTCCAGCCCTGAAGTTTAAAATATCCTCTATTATTGAGAAAAAGAAATACAAAGAGAGGCACTTCTATGGGCCTCTGTTTCACTCACCCAAACCCTCAAAAGCCATTTGATGTTTATTTGCGATCTTCTTCATTTTCCCATTCCAATCTCCTACAAAAATGGAAACCCTTGGCCCCAAAAAAGTACAACCAAGTAAAAAAATCTAGGAGCCTGTTATCTCCATCAGAGCTCTTTCATCCTTCCTTATTTTGCCTTATCTACTGAGACAAGAGCCAGCAAGATGTAGTGATTCGGGCACCATGATAGAAGCTAGGAAATTATGAGTTATAGTCCTGACTTAGGTACAAAGCCAGCTGGGTGATCTTTAGCTAGTCACTCTTTCTCAGCCCTAGGAAATAAGCAAGGGCAAACTACTTCCAAAATCTTGCAAAGAAAACTGCAGGAATTTCCCTAGACTGTTGCTAGAAGTCAACACTGACTTCTACACACATACACACATACTCAGAGAGTAAAACAAAGCCATCAAACTACCCCTTGTGCTATAGATCCAAAGCTCAGTAGCAAGAAAAGGGATGAAACAAAAGAAAAAATGGGGGGGAAAAGAAACTAGCTTTGAACTGGTTTCAGCTGCACCATAGCTGAACTGGGCCAGAAGTTTCCAACATTACTGACATCAGGAACACAAAGATCTTGAGCCCTGTTTAAACCAGTGCAAAATCTTCACATGGAAATCTCTTCATGAACGGAGGAGAGCTTTTCTCTCTTGCTTTGCAATTCATTGAAGATGGTTTCCAGAAATACAACATAGCCTAGCAGACAAGAATTAAGAGGAATATATTCTGGCTGCCTTTATATTCTGCAGCTCTTCAAAATACTCCTGAAAATATTTTGAAATCTTCAATAGAAAATATGCTTGGTTTAAAGTTGCGGCATCAACTGACTTTAGAGCAAAATGTCCTGTGAGTCAGAAAGTAAATGGATCTTTTTGGATGTTGTGTTTTTATAGGCATTTTATTGTTCTGAGCAAAGGGCCATTTTATATTTCAAAGGATGGATGAAATCCTAAACAAGTGTTGGAAGAAATATCTATCTGGTTCAGTTCCAAGCTGGGAGAAAGACATTGGAAACAAAATGGAGGCTGGAGGCTGATTGGAAAGATGGTTTAATGATGAAGCAGGACCACATGGATTCTGGTGCAGCTGACAAAATGGAATTGAGAGTGAGGGGGTTTTATACCTTCTTTAGGCTTTGCACTTAAGCTTCCTGTCCCTGTGCAAGAACATGTATTCTATTGGCTGTTGTCAGACTTCCATGGTGCCATTTAGGGGTTATGTAGGGGTCATAGCTGGCTCTATAGGCAAAGTACAAATCCTAGGGGTGTGTCTGAGAGAAGTTTGGTTGAAGTTTGAAGGTTGATGCAATAATTCCTATTATGGCTTAATGACTTTGCCCTGTATTAACTTTTGGGTGAGGGCTAATCTGTTCAGATTTTGCTGCAGAGAGTAATGGATTACCAAATCTGCATTTCTAAAAGCTGCCCCAGATCAGTGTCTGCTTGGGGACGGGGCTGGGGCTCTGGGTTTCTGTGTCCTTTAACATTTTTAATTTCTCTTTTAGGGGAAATATTTTATCCTGCCTTTTTTAATATTCCTCAAAATATTTCATTCTTCTAGGGAGGGAGTGGCTTCCCACACAAGCTTGCTAGGAGTAATGCCTATTAAATTCAGTGGAAGCTGCTTACAAGAAAGGTGATCAGGATTTGGCTGAAAATTATTTCCTATGAAAATAAAATGGGCCCTCCCCATAAAATGGGGAGACTTCAATGTGCTTCATTATGACTTTTTCCAAATTAGTCAAAGGTGTTTTTTTTTAAAGTTTACTAATGATCAGGTACCCTTTCCTGCTAATGAGTTTCTGGTTTCCTTTCTTTAAGTAACACATTGAGCAAAACACTTTCCTACAAAATTCACAATTGTTAAAACCAGGGGATTTGCTGTCAAAGCAGCATCGCCAAATTGAGCAACAGCTGCAAATGAGGCATTTCTTCAAACCTGCTTGGATATGCACTTTTCCATACATTACTGGTGTTGCCATCACTGTTGCCAATATCTGACAATTGCCAATATTCAATTTTGTATGAGTAACAGTATGAATTACAGAAAGCCAAGCTCTTGAAGCCTTTCATCCTATCCAGGACTTGGCGATTTGGAGCTCAAATCTGTCTGAAATGTTCTCCTTGTCTGGAGCCATCACAGGGCTGAAGATCCAGCTCCTCCCATCTGGCCCATGGTTCAGTCCTCCCCACTTGTTTTTATTACAGGGGCTCGTGGTTTTTCACAGTCAGGATTCTCTGATTAAAATTTATTAAATCCCACTCAATTAAAATTAAATTAAACAGATTACCAGGACTTTACAGAGGCTGGAGGAACTGCAGAGGAAGAAGTCCCAATGTTGGTCATCTGCCTTCCCCATTGAATTCCTGGCTTTTCAGAGAAGAAAGACAAACAATACAAGGATTCCCAAGATAATTTAATGCAGGAGCATTAGAAATGCAATTTAATTGTAATACATGAATATCTTTTGACTTTTAGACACTCAGAATTGGGGTGAATGTGCTTTAACCTATTCATAAATGAATTATATGGCTAGATTTGCTTTTACAACTAAGCATTTCTTCAGAAATGAAACCTATTTCAGGCATTAGTCCATCCACTTCCATCCCATCCAAGAGATGAAGTCTATTTTCATTGGTCTTATATCTCCATCCATGCATGAAAGTCGGGTAATGAAAAATGTTCTGCAGATCAGATTAGCATTCTCTGGACAGGGACTGCAGAGACTTTGAAATTCAAGAAACTAATCAAATAGGAAAATCTCTGTCCATAATATTTTGCTTTCCTTTACAGTATTCTCTTTTCCTCGTCTTTTTAATAAGCTTGTTTTTTATCTATTAACATTTTTAATTGGCTTGAATCCTTGAATTGTCTCCCTAAAATTCTACCAGTAAGTTAGAGAGACAGCATTAAGACACCCCTCTTATTCTAAGGGTATTTCACAAGGGTTTGTACCATCTGGTATTTGTGAAAAGTACAACTAAACTATCTTTTTTAACATTATTTCTAGGACCGAGTTTCTTGAGAAAAGGGTATAGCAAACATTCACATACAACCTCATGCACAAAATCTAATAACTCGGCAACTTTTTCAATCTAACATCAAATTATGACATTAATCCATCACAATTCTTTTTGCGAAGAAAAAAAAAAACTTCACAAAATGAGAATCCATAAGTAAGAGCTTTCTCTTGCTAGCCATCAAAATGATTACACCACAAATGGATTGTGACATGCTATAAAATGGGTGAATGTGTACCAAAATGACAAATGTGGTTCAAATGTGTGGACTGATGCACTTTGGAGCAAAGCTTGTTGGTGAGATCAGAAGTCAGTCTGAGCTGGTGTGATGAGAACTCTTTGAGTCATGAGAAAGAATTTTAACCTAGGTAGCAAGTTAAAAATAAAACCTGTAGAAAGAGAACAAAAATTTTAGAAGTAGACACCCCATTATGACACCATCTTGACTTATTTTTTAACCATACCTTGTGGACACTTCTGCAT